GAAGAAAGAGGAAAACCAAAATTAATGGAAACAATCAGTCCTAGCAACTGGTACACCATCTGATCTGCAACCTATACAACTATGAGACCAGAAGACCTAGATGGTGCCCGGCTACCACTGTCATCCACTTGGAAGGGATGTAGGAGATCCTGGATAGAGAGGGAGAACAATGTAGCTTATATGTCATGCATAGGTTTAGAGTTTTAAAATGAAAGAACAAACTATTAATTTGTAAGAACTCTTTATATATTTTTTCTTTTCTTTTTTTTTATTGTGATTTGGGTGAAGATTTACAGAGCAAATTCACTTTCCATACAGCAGTTCACATACACTTTGTCTCATAACATTGACCACAGTTTACCACAATGCAACAGTTCCCCTCCCACTTCCTCCCTGTCTTTATATATTAAGGATATAAACCTTATATCTAATAAAAATCCTATGAGATTTATTCTAGAGAGTTTCATAAAATGAATCTAAAATCCATCTAGAGCAATTTAAAAAAAGCAGGAGTAAGAACATTTTGAACAACTAGTATAATATAAAAATACTTTATAAACAATAAGTGAATGAGTGTTTGGAATTTCACAGCAGCCTAGAAACAGACTCAAGTGTTAGGAATATGATGTAAAAAAAACCCCAAAAATACTCAGAGCCATCAAGTCAGTTCCTAGTTATAGCAGTCCTCACTGGGTTTCCAAGGCTGTGAATCTTTAAGGAAGCAGACTGCTCATCAATGTAAGATAAAGATAGTGTCAAATCAGTGCATAAGTAAGAGAAATATACCACATTAGAAAAATGGGAGTGAAGTTCATAATCTTATCATTCTAAGCAGAAGATAATCCTTTAAAGATAATTATTACTCTTTTATTACAATAGTGAAAATTTGGAAACATTTAAGTGATAACAAAGCCAAAAAATCAAACCTACCGTCATCAAGTCAGTGCCAACTCACAGCAACCCTACAGGACAGAGTAGAACTACCTCAGGTTTCCAAGGCTGTAAATATGGAAGCAGACTACTTCATTTTTCTCCCATGGAGTATCTGGTGGGTTTGAACTGCCAGCCTTTGGTTACCAGCGAAGTACTTTAACCACTATACCACCTGAGCTCCTTAAATGATAACAAACCATAAAAACTAAGGACGTTGACATTGAGTTGATGCTGACTCATAGCAACCCCTGTAGAGTTTCCAAGGCTTGTACAACTAAGGAAGCAGACTGCCTTTTCTTTCTCCCTGGGGAGCTGCTGGTGGGTTTGAGCTGGTGACCTTTTGGTTAGCAGACCAGTGCTTTAACCACAGTACCATCAGAGCTTCAGGGGAGTGTTGCATAAATAAGTCTATCCCTGGGTGGTACAAACGGTTAACACGCTCAGCTGCTAACAGTTTACCCAGGGATGCCCTGGAAGAAAGACATGGAGATCTGCTTCTGAAAAATCAAGTATTGAAAACACTGTGACAACCCTGTGTAACAAGAGAAGGACATCATACAAGGCTATTAAATAGCCAATAAAAAGAAATAATTTTTCAAAGAACATTGAAGAAATAATACATCTTTATAGTATAATATTTGGAGCTCTGGTGGCGTATCTCCTTGAGGACTGAGGTGTGCTTGACACAAGCCATAGTATTTTCACTCGCCTCATATGTCAAGGCATTTGACTGCTAACCAGAAGGCTGGCAGTTCAAACCCACCAGCCACTCCTGGGGAGGAAGGTTGGGCAGTCTACTACCACAGAGATGGTGCCTTGGAAACCCAAGAAGGGGTCTCTGTGAGTTGGATCCGACTCAACAGCAGTGAGTTTATGATATAATACTAAGTGAAAAAAGCAGTGTGATGGCAATTTAACATAAAAAATGCGTTTATATGTATGTAGAAGCCATAAAGAAATTGATACACCAAAATGTTGATAGTAATTTCTTGGATGCTCACAACAGATGTTGACATTTAAATGTACATGAGAGTTTCTACCCTCTAACCCAACTGTAACCACTGTCAACAGTAGTGTGCATCTGCCACACTTTGTGCATTTACAAACACATGGATGTATAGTTTGTATGGTTTTGGTCTTTTCTAAAAGCAAGATACTGCTTACATTGTTATCTGTCTTATCTTTTCTTTCAGTAATATATTGTGAATAGATTTCTGTGTGAATGCATGTATATCTACCTCATTCTTTTTAATGTGCTGGGTTCATGTATACTTTCTTGCCTATACTGTCATCTGATAAATGAAAAAAAAAGTACAGTTATTTGAATAGCTATCACAATTATGCTTATGTAGAGAGAAATTATTCAGAAGGTTTACCAGGGAGAGATTTAGCATTAGTGGCTAAGGCACTTGACTGCTAACCAGAAGGCTGGCGGTTCAAACCCACCAGCCACTCCTCGGAAGGAAG